TCTTTATTATATTAAGATAACTTTCAAAATAAATTCAACATAACAATAAAATCAAGATCTTAACAATTTGATGCCATTGAAACAACTATGCACTATGTTTGAGAATAAAAAATAAGATTGCAAGAAACAAAAGGAAGAGTCTCAACCGGGCTTATTACACCCCACACCGAGTCACCACCATCTGATGGTGCGGAATCAATGGTCTAGCTTCAATCTCGAACCGAAAAAGCAAATTTTGGCCAAGCCATACCATTAGAACATAAACCCATTTGATCACAAACTCAAATCCTAGGTGAATTCTTTTAGCAACTTAGTTTGAGAGAGATGGATTCTATGATTGTTAAACCCTAAAACCCTTAGCCATAAATCCATATTTGAGAAATAGGAGAGAAGAACTCCATAACCTAAACCCTTAAGTTCTTTCACAATGTGGGAGAGAGATCAAACATGAGTGAGATCAAACATGAGAGAGATAAACTTTAGAGAGAGATAAAAAGATAAGGTGTAGAGATTTTTTGGTAAAGACAATCCATTTTTATAGGCTTTAAATAAGATTATGGTTTGTTAGGGTTTTTTTTGGCTTGCCTCTTCTTGTGAGATTGAACATAAACCGTCGATCAAGGGTGAATTGTGGGTGAGAGATCTGAGCCATCCATTTCATAGATGGGCCATCAACATTATGGAAGGTGCATGAACCATTATCTCTCTCTTAAACCATTTTCCCATCAATAGAAATTAAATAAATTAAATCTAATCAAAATATTGTGCATATGCACAAGTCTACTCAATCTTTTCACAAAATCTTTCAAAGATATATTAAGTCAATATTTAATCAATATCTTCCAACGATAAGGCCACATATCATATCACCAAAAAATAAGAAAGAGAATAAAGGTGGGGCGTGCCACCCAACGGAGGCACTCATGGGCCCCACCTTCTAAAAATATGGCGAGCCCATGTGTACAATGGGCCCCCATGATATTTTTATATATTTAAAATTAATAAAAGGATTTTAGAATATTATTTGAATATTTAAACGATTATATAATCAATATCTTTAATTTTATAAATCCAAAAATTATAAATAAAATATTCAGGGATTCATAAAAATTCAAATAATAATCTTAAAATAATTTCTATCATAAAACAAACACAATTAAATTAATTTGATGGGAAAATGATCCATATGATTTAGGAATCAACAATCATGGGGCACAAACCACATTTGCTTTATCAGACTGACACAGTGTTTCCCATGACCCTCAGTCCAAGTAGTGGCTAATTAGAGGGTCACCAAAGTCTGGCCGATAAGCCAAGGGATCACAATCCCAGTCTGTAGATTTCAGGTCTTTTTCTAGAGACGAGTCAAGATCACCTAGACCTGATGCGACCATAGCTCTTATGGTGCGTAGGGGTATCTCTCGCACATGAATACGCTTCACCATAAAAGGTGGATTTCTAGCTTTCCCCAACGATCTATCGATATGCATGCCGTGTGATGGTACATGGATGAGGCTTTGGTCCTCGTCTTTGTAGGCCATTATCACACACAAGGGTCACACTGTCCCTCGGCTCACTCATCTGGGCATGTTCTCCGACTTCATCAAGGCTAACCCATAAACCCTCATCGGTTTGTTTTTCATGCCCAGGTAACATAGATTTTTCCAACCGACCGGCCTAGATCGTTAAGCACAGATCGGTATCAGCAAACCATCGTTTGCTTAGTATGGTCCACGAGGGACCACACTCCCACTGAGTTCATGTTCCACTATATCATTTCATTTTACAAGCACTCATAAGGCCTTTAAAGGCCACATGAACCCAACAGAAACCTCGGACCACATGAGGAAAGATCACTTCAAGCTCCCTAAGAAGGACCATGATTTCATCTATAATAGCATTGAGCCTCCACGGAGTGGAATATGGATTAGAGCACCATCTTATCACATTTGTCGAGTCTCCTTCGATGACAACTCGATGGAAGGAGTGGTCGAGCTTAGATAACCCCATTTGCAATTTCATAAGAGTATATCCTCCAGAAATAAGACCAAAGCGTGGCCCCATTGTGGTCCCCAAAACCAAAGATTTCTCCCTTAACACTGCCCTCAAAATTAAGTTTAACCCAACTTATAGGAGGTTTAGTCCAGACTCTGTGAAAGGAGGTTTGTCTTAGTCTGTATTGCAATAGGTCCTATAGTGCGTGAAAAACATTTCCTTTGGTACTATAGTGAGAGGGAGAAAAGCATAAGCCTCGAGAGTCAATGGACTTCTCGACTGCAGCGAGAAAAGTAGGCAAATCTCTGCTATGCCCTTTAAAATTTCTCAAATTCTTTTTAGGTACTCCTACATCAGTTAAAAGAAAATTATTTTTGGTTGAATTAGTGCCCAAACAAATACATGCAAAGCCCCAAATTGGCAGAGGACGGACTCGACTAGCTGTCCACCCTTAGGGGGGCAAAATGTTTTGCCGTTTTTAAAAGGAAAAAGTTTATATATAGTCGTGGTTCTAAATAATCAAATTATATCCCATCTTAAAAATTTTACTAGAAGAAATTGTTTTGATTCCTAATTTTTTTCAAATTGATCATCTCGACATCAAGATGCATGAACATGAGAAAAACATGGATTTCAAGTGTTGGAACTATAAACCCTTAGCCAAAGAATCATGTTTGTGTTTGAACGGTTAGCTGTTGAGTTGGGAATGCTACATCTCAAGTTTGCTTAGTGGCAGTTTAATTGCAATATTTTTGGATTGTAATTAAAAAATCTTGTGAAATAGATTTGAACCGTTTAGACAACCTCATGATTTTGTTTGATTTTTAGATTGAAATAAAAAATATTGCAGTGTGAAGGCAAAAGTTACCGTAAAAAAAATTCAAGTTAGACTTAGATTTTTTTTTTATGAAAGTACAGCTGTCTCATCCTGTGTAAACCTCAACCCATGACCCAACAACTCCGTGAAACCTCATAAACCCCAAATCTACTCTCTCTCTATGAATAAATAAAGCAGTTTTAGTTTTTCTCTCTAAAAAAAAACCAGAGCAGCTCAAGCCCCATCCACATGGCAGCCTTAAAGCGGCATCTTTATAAAACCAAGACCCTTTTTCTCTCTACAAAAGGCGAGCCTTTCTCTCATACCACATCCATGTGATGCTCCTTCTCTTCATGAATAAGGGAAGCTCAAGCCCCATCTTTGGGGCCTTAGGCCTTTCTCTCCTTACAAAAGGCGAGCCTTTTATTTCATACCACACCTATGGGCTCTGGTGGTAAAAAACCAAAGAAGCTCAAGCCCTATCCATAGCAACCCTAAACCCTTCTCTCATACCACACCCATGGAAAACCCCTTCTCTTCATAAATAAAGAGAAGCTCGTGTTGCGTGATTGCTTATTCTTGAATTGGTAAGAGAATTTTGGAAGGGTAGAATACTACTTTGCTTTTAATATGTGATATCTATCTCCATCATAATAATAAAAAAAAACATGGTAATGGTTATTAATTAAAAATGAAAAAACTTATGCTTTTTTTCAATATGAAGGTTTGTTTATTTGACATAGAAACTGGCCCTTAACTACCCAAAAAGATAAACCTTTAGCCAAGGATGGAAACACGTCGGGTCTAGCCCAAGCCAGTCCATACCCTAGTCCCTATAGGGCCGGCACATGCTCAAGCCGACTGAAGAAAGCCCGCATCCATGGTGGCTCACTCAAGATTGGGCTGGACCAAATACAATAAATATAAATAAAAAAAGTGATAAGAAAAAAAGGGCTGGGCCGGGCCATTGGCAGCCCTAACATTCAGCTTAAAACTTCACTTGTCCATTCTCACTTATACCACCATTCCATATTGTATCAAACACATATTTCCTTCTTGTTTATTACTAATTATTAATTCATGTTACGATGCAACTCGGTAGAGGAAGAAATACGGAGGTTTCCTTGCTACAACACGCTAATTCAGGAAAATTGATACCTTCAATCATAATCAAACTGCAAAAAACCATAGGAGTATACACACATTATAAATAGTAGATACGCACTAAATATATTGTTATTTTTACTTTTTTGGTTGAAATTTCCTTATTATCTAAACAAGACATGTCGGTCTTTCAGAGAGAGAAAGTTAAAGAGAAGGTTCATCACAAACTTGTTCTGCTCCAACGCGTGCGTAGACAGCAATTTTGACGAGGGGATTGGTTGCTGGTGGTGCTCTCGCTCTCTCTCTAAAACTCTTTCTCTCTCAAAAAATCACTAAGTCCTTAATCAAATCCCCGTTCTTTTTCTCAGATCGAATGCCGCATACCTAAGAAATCCCCCATATAGTAGAGGCTTCTGAAGATCAAAAGGTTGGTTCTGTTAATCTCTCTCGTTTTTGTGTGCTCTGATCATCATTCTGTATCAATCGGATTTAACCTTTTTGAAGATTTTTGAAGAAAAACCAACCTAAAAAACACGGTTAAATTGCAAAGGTTGGTTCTGTTAATCTCTCTCGTTTTTGTGTGCTCTGATCATCATCCTGTATCAATCGGATTTCACCTTTTTGAAGGTTTTTGAAGAAAAACCAACCTAAAAAGCACGGTTAAATTGCAGGAGCTGGCTAAGTTTTTCCCGATTTTCGAAGAAGCCCAGCCCTAGAAAAAAAAGGGAAAAAAAGAAAAGAGAGGATTTGACCATCTGATTAGGGTTCCAGTGTTGGTCTCTTTTAGATATTGAAATAATTGGACTTATAAAGGGATAATTGAATATAGAGAGAGAATTATAGCATCTAGGTCAGCAAAATTTGGAGCTTTTCTCTCTCTATGCAAGCCGTTGATCCCAAAAGATGTATAGCAATTTCAAGGAGCAGGCCATTGAATATGTGAAGCAAGCTGTACAGGAGGATAATGCAGGGAATTATGCCAAGGCCTTTAGCCTTTACATGAATGCCTTGGAGTATTTCAAGACGCATTTGAAATATGAGAAGAACCCTAAGATCAAAGAGGCGATAACCCAAAAATTTACGGAGTATTTGAGGAGAGCGGAGGAGATTCGAGCTGTTTTAGATGAAGGAGGAGGTTCAGGGCCTGCAAATAATGGAGATGCAGCTGTTGCTACAAAGGCTAAGACAAAGCCAAAGGATGGAGAGGGAGGAGATGGAGAGGACCCTGAGCAGGCGAAATTGAGGGCTGGCCTCAATTCTGCGATTATTAGGGAGAAGCCCAACGTGAAGTGGAGTGATGTTGCAGGGCTTGAAAGTGCAAAGCAAGCATTACAAGAGGCTGTTATCCTTCCTGTCAAGTTTCCTCAGTTCTTTACAGGTTCAAGAATTCATCTATTTTCATCGTTCATTTGATCTTTCTCTCTCCCTCTCTTTTTGTTTTGGTAAATCTCTCTATCTCTGAATGGGTATTTTCTGCTTCTTTTTGTTGCTTTTTGGGTATCACTTTTGTTGTTAATGCTTTGAACAAAATTGGGTAATTATGCTTGATTTGCTTGTTTAGTTATTTTAGGATATTGTTCCCTTGAATGAAATAGGTCACAAGGAGATTGATGAGAACTGGGGAATTGCCTATTTCTTTGTGCATTTATTGGGTGATTTTGGTGTGATGGTGGCTGCTGATTCGATGCATCTCAGGTGTTTGCGGTTGATGATTTTTCTGTCAATGGCTTGCTCTCTATTTTGTTAATTTGTCTGAGACTATATGCAGCATGATTAAATCATCAATGGCTTCCTGATGCCTTTGCAATCTAGTGAAGCACACTAGTTGCTATTTTATCTAAAATCATGTTGGAGAACACTTAATAGTTTGGCTTTTGAACAAGTTTTATGTTATTAATGGCCTTTAGATACTTCAACCAGACAGACTTGGAATCTCTTTCGTTGATAACTAGACTTATTGACTTAAATATGAAAGTTGTTCAATAAAAGTTGTTGGATTATTATTGCTATTATTCTTTTTATTATTCGTATTATGTTTATCATTATTATTATTATTAGTATTATTATTTTATATTTAGAATGTATCTTGTTTTACGAAGAGCGCAGGTAACTTCTCATAAATTTTGAAATTTTCCACCAGTTGTGTTATTTATATTTCCTTTTGTATTCTCCATGGATAATGGTACGAGCATCTAATGATGTTTGCAATGGAAATCAAATGTGACAAGTGCGTTCATGTGTTCTTGGCCACCATGATTGCAACTCCAAGCTGGAAGCTAGGTGCTACTGCTATGATATAATAACTTTACCTGAATTGAAAAAAAAAAAAAGAAAAAATCACAAATCTAAATGGACTAAACATATAGAACCACATAGCTCATAGATAGTTTGATGACGATAGTTTGATGACTATGAAAAAGGTACTCATGAGAGAATTAAAGAACTTTTACAGACTAACGTGTGAAAATGTGCTTTTGAGATAAAAAGAGACGTAGTTTGTTTTTAATTGTTAGCTGTATTTTATTTTTTAAAATTGAGGTACAAGTAAGTGTGTTCTCTTTCTGTGTACAAAATCGACTCAGTACAACATCTCTTAGGAGGTGCGAGTTAGTTCAAGTGGAAGGATTGAAAAGAGCAAGGGGTTAGGCCTAAAAGGACATGGTTGGAAGTAGTCCAAAAAGATATGGGGATTTATGGCCTCACTGAGGGTATTGCCTTAAATAGGGCAGAATGGCAGACCAAGATTCATGTAGCCGACCCCAATTAATTGGGAAAAGGCTATAATGATGATGATATATTGGTCTCTACAAAAATAAGTGCTTGTTTAGAACCGGGTTAGAATCAAAACAAATTCACTATTGCGCATGTCTTGGATATCGGAATCGTGGCCAAAGCATGAGCTTCTTAGTTGGCTTCCCTCCAAGTGTGTTGAAGCTGCATACTTATCCTTTCGGTACAATCCCATATTTTTTCGAAAACATTCTGCAGTTGCCAAGGGAAGGGCTCGTCGCTGCTTCCCTACACAATCATATTGCTGGAGTCTCCCTTTGCGTTCAACTGTTTCAACTGGTATCTAGGACTCTTAGTCCTTTTAGTGGGGACCTGGCTTGAGCCTCGTTCGATACACAAGTAGGAATTGGCCCAGAATAGGATAGTATAATCTTCACTCGGTGATTCATAAATCAGCCCCTAAAACTTGCTGAGCCTGGATTTCCTCAGGAGCTCCCTACTAAATTCAACTTCTATGTATCCTCTGAGGGAGGAATTCACTTACTCAGCTTGTTTTGCATTGGCATAAACGATGTAGCAATTCATTTGAAATGGGTATCAAAATTGGTCACCATGTATCCCTAGCAATGTTTTAAAATGCAGGATGTGGCCCTGATGCGGTGGGGGGCCGATGCAGCTCGATGCGGCCCGGATGCAGGTGCATCGTGATGATGCGGTAAATAAATGTAAATAAATTCTAAAAAATCTAAAAAACTAAGTTAATGCATAGAAAAAAATATGAAGGTGATATATGTGATAGTAGGTATTTTAGTTTAATGATTAACTTCAACACTATTAGCTGTCGGAGATTCTGTATTCAATTATCCACTATCCCCTGATAGAAACTAGAAACTTGAAACCAGCTTCATAAAGCATTCAACAATCAACAACCATAAGCTCAAATTTTCTCCATAAGCACAACCATCAACAACCATAAGCACAAAATAGTGATATTACAAAATACAAACCAATAGTCAAGCTCAAGAAGAGTTAATAGTTAATAACTTAATACAATCATCCATTTTGAGAGTCAATTTTGAAATTTGAACTTCATTTTTTCAAATATTTATCAGACAAGTCATCTTGAGAGTCGTCATGCGCATCATCAATATCATCCTCGACGGCCTCCATGTATTCTTCTTCATCGGTCTCCTCTGAGTCAGCTTCCTGCTCGACCTCTGAAGCTAATGTGCGAGTGCGACTAGACCCAGCAACTCCTCTACTCCTTTGTGCTCTAGTGTTAGGTCAATCTTCTTCATTAACCCTTGTTGCTAGCTCGACATCAAGCCATGTAATATTCTCACCCTCAAACACACGCTCTTGTCTTGGATCCATGGTCCACTCACTTATGGAATCACCATCAGCTTCATATAATTGAATAGGGTTGAGCTTCGTGCGATTTTCATGCCGCTCCCTAAGCCGCTCGTTATACCTCACATAAACCAAATCATTCAACTTTTTCTGCTCCAACCTATTTCTTTTTTTGTATGGAGCTGTGGTAGAAATTTGAAATCAGATAAATTAGATTTTAGATTAGAAAATTGCAATTCAAGAAATAAGGATTAAGGAATAAGGAGTAAAGGACTTA